TACTCTGATGCAATTTCTGGTAAGTTTGGAAGCTTGAATTATAACTTTCTTAACTACTATTCCCGATAAAGTCATTTATATAGGTTTGAATGAATCTAGGAAAAACAAAAAACAAAGACTGGATTCCTTACCTTGTATTTGGTAACCGGTTAATATAGTTCTGTGATAGATATTTTGGTGTTGAGATAGTAGAATTCAAAATCATATGTAGTATTATATATTTAGTACCTAAATGTGTCAGCTGCTGTCCATTGTAAAACAAAACATTCTAAATATCTCATGAAGTAATCTGTTTAAGGAGAACATTAAAAATACTATTTGATAGCTTTTTTGGGGTTTGACATCAAAGTGTTCCTGATATATAATTCTATTCTTAATTTCCTATTTATTTATTTATTGTTTTTGTTTTGAGGCAGGGTCTCACTGTGTAGTCCAGGCTGGCCTCAAACTGGTGGTGATTCTCCTGCCTCAGCCTCCTGAGTGCTGGGATTATATCAGTACATTTAAACCTTCTCTTTCGTGACCATTTTTGGTCCATTTCTCCCAAGATTTATTAATATGTGGTCCTTTTTTTCTTTCATTTGGTAGCATTAACTCGTTTTGCTTTTTAAGCTTGATTTTACCTTTTATGTTTTGAATGACAAAGGTACAGGACTTATAAATTTAGCAATTTCTAGTTCCTTTGCTTTTTATGGAGAATTCCTAACTTTATAAAATGTCATTGAAGATTTTTATTTTTTATCTTAGTTCTCTGTCAAATGGGTTTATTTTCTGCTGCTCAGTTACAGGATAGCTCACCTTTATTTATATTCTCCACTGTGTAAAATTCTTCTCATTACTGGTACTTTGCAGCTTTCTTTACACTGAGAATAATGTTTCTGAATCAACATGTTTCTTACTGGTTTGAGAGGGGACACATGGTTCCTTGTCTGAAAAATTTCACATTCTCAGTTCTTCCTTAGAAATCCTGGGTAGACACTTAAGCCATTTCTACTCTGGGTAGATTTCTGAACCCTAAGTTGTACTTATGATAATTTACTATCGTTTGATGCATTTTGCATGGCAACATTCTCACCTACGCAGTGATTTGGCAGCTTAAAATTTACATAGGCACCTTCCAATTTAAATCACTGTGTTCCATAGCCAGTGGCAGTGGTTCTCTTTAAGTTTAGAGGAGCCTTATTTCCTTTGTCTATTGGAATATGTGACTTATTATTATATCTACCACTTGGAGAATGCAGTTGATGTGCCCAAAGTCAAAACCATAGAAGAGCTTGCATTTGGGCTGTTTTGCCCTTGTATTTTATAGTTGTGATGACCATTCAAATTACTCTTTTCTGCTTTCTGTTTTTCCTCTTCTTTGCTCCTAGTCTCCCATCTCCTTGGCATACAAGCATGTCTTTCCTCTCTTTCTTATTCTTTCTTCTCCCATTTGCTCTTTTTTCTGCCTTTTTTTTTTCACCCATGTTTAGGAAGGCCCATGCCCTTCCTTTCTCAAACCTCTCAGATCCTTCAGCTGGAGTGTAGGCCAGACTTCCTGTAGGCCACCTCCCACACCCTCACAGTCCACACCTGTGTGTACAGTTGCTACAGCTAGAATTGTGGGCTGTGAATAACAAAGGAGTAGTTGTGAATGACAGGATGAGCATGGGATACAACTCGTTAAAAGTGATTGGCAGAGAAGTTTAAGAATGTTTGAGCACTGATTCATTGTTATAGCCCAACACAGTGATGCACACCTGTAATCCCAGCACTCTGGGAAGCTGAGGCAGGAGAATCACAAGTTTGAGCCCAGCATGGGCAGTATTGGGATACCCTGGCTCAAAATTAAAGTACTTTAGAGGAGAGAGTCACAGTATTATATGTGCCAGGTGTGGTGGCACAGGCCTGTGAGGCAGGAGAATTGCCAAGAGTTTGAGGTCACTCTGGGGTACATAGTGAGTTCAAGGCCAGTCTGAAGTACATAGTAAGACTTTGTTTCAAAAATCTAAAACCAAAAAAACAACAAAAAAATCATTTGTCAATTTTCAGAAGCCAGGAATATTAAAAATTATTTTTAAAAAATCCAAAACTGAAATGCTCATTAGAGATCATTCAATAGTGACTTGACGAGTTTTTATTAAGACAATCACATATTTCTTTAAAACTATTCTAGTAGGTAATAACTATGTCATGAAATATTTTTACTGCCCTTTTAATACAGATTTTAGTTTATCAACACTTTTGAATGGCATTCTTTCTATTCTGAAATGTGTAATGAAAAATCTTTATTGTATCATTAAATGAATACTTATCCTGTCTTTCTCTTTACATAATCTGACATGATGTTAAAGTATCCTTAAATAGCATCAGGTAAGAAAGCTGCTTGATTATGGATGATTTGTTGCCATTGGCTTTATGTGGCTTTGTGATCAGAGCCATGCTGTCTCGTGTGAACTCGATAAGTATTTTTTTTTGACAAACAATAAGTAATGTGTGATCATGAGAAAAAAACCTCAAACTATCCATTTATTTTGACTTTTTAAAACTAAACTCTAAATAATCATCCTACATTAAAGATTTTAAAAAATGATTGTAAGGCCAGGCATTTAGCTCAGTGGTTCCACTGCCTGGCTCGAAAGCGCAAGGTCCCAAGTTCAATCCCTGGTACCAAAAAAAAAGAGAAAAAAATGATTGTATTACTTATATTGGTTTCCTTCCTAAATCTTCACACTTTCCTCACATTTACCCTTTTGTTCCAACCATTTCTGTTTAATGTATTCCCAGAGATTGAAGGGAATTAAAATGTTTCCAAAAATCTTTCTGCAAGTTATAATTCTAAACATGATTGATCTGTATGTCAGCACATTCGTTCATTTATTTGTTCAACAAATATTTATTGATCTACTTCATGCCAAGTACTGTTCTAGTTGAATATACTACAGTAAAAGGTAAACGATAAAATTTCCTGCTTTCACATGTTGTTTATGTCTGTTATTTCCTAAGGTATTTTTATGCAGTTATCTCATCATGGAGTTGTCTATCAGAACATTTAATTTTCTAACTCCTGTGCTAGCTTTGAAAGCTAGTATGTATTGGTCTTTCTTGTGTCCAAAGATGAAGTCATTTGTGGCTTATGTACATGGGTATATTAGTCTGTTTGGGCTGTCATAATGATATAGCATTGACTAGGTGGCTTAAACATCAGAAACTTATTTCTCACATTCCTGGAGGCTGGAAGAGTCTAAGATTGAGGTGCCGGCAAGATAGACTTCATTGTGAGACCTTATCTCACCTGGCAAATGGCTGCCATCTCACTGTGAGCTCACAGCCAGAGAGCTGAGCATGTGGGATGAGTGTAGTCTCTGGCACTAATCCCATTAGACCAAGGCCCCACCCCCATGTCTGTATTAACCTTTGATGTCCTCACAGAGGTCTTGTTTCCAAATGCCATTACATGGAGAGGGAGGGCTTAAAAATACAAATTTGGGAGAGACACCATGTCCACAGATGGTCCAGCCATAGAGAAAGGCAGTAGTAGCTCCTGACAGTGGAGCAACTGCTTCTCTCTGGTTGAACTTTCTCAGGAAGCTAGAGAAACAGTTTGCAACCATAGTTCTTGAATTATTTCTCTTTTTGTCTTCTAAATTTTAATTTTTATTAGTGCATGTTTGCAATACATAATGATTGCATTCATCGTGGGGGGATGGTGCATGTACCTAACACATCTCAATGCTTTTTACATCCTCTTCTCCTCTTTCTCCCTCCTTCCTTCCTCATTTTTTCTACTTGGTAGGTAGGTCTTGTTTTCAACCATCACTTCATCTGTTTCAATAATAGTACATGTGCTTCTGTGTTAGTTCTCTCTCCTTGCTGAGACAAAATATCTGACACCTACAAGTTAAGGGAGGAAAGGTTTATTTTATTTAGTTCACAGTTTGTAGAGGTTTCAGCCCATAGTTGGCTGGCTGGGTGGCATGGCACAGGAGAAACAGTTTATGGCAGCCAGAAGGTAGCAAAGCAACAAGGGAACCTTAACAGCATCTTTCTGCCCCTTTTATCCAGACTACCAGGATTGGGGTGGTGCCAAACCAATCAGTGTACTGGTTTAGTAATCATACATCCTTCATCCCACCATCACACACTCTAGATTCAGCCACCTCTGAAAAAGCCACCTATGACCGTATGAGGTTTTGGGGGGACATCTAGACACCAACCATAACAGCTTCTTACCATCTGATGCCTTCCTTTGCTGCTTTTCTATTCTCTCCTCATCACATCAAAATCACTTAAAACTTTTGTACTCAGATGGCCCCCCTGATCATTCAGTGGCTGCAGTCATCCAGGTCATCTGTTGGGATCATGATGAACATGGCCCTGTGATCACCCCATTGGAGCACCGAGGGCAGCCAGCCTTATTTTAGGTCTCTTGAAGCCCAACAACCGCAGTGCTTCCTGCAGTGAGGCCCTGGTCACAGCTCTCTTCTGTGTGATAGTAGATGCCTCTAAGTCAGTATTCTTTCCTCAGGTTTTCAAACAGCCCACAGCCCTGCTCTTTTCATCTTTGGCAAAGATTTTTCCTTGGTTTTGTGTCTTAGGTCTCAGTTCTCCATACTCTCCTTCCTCAGTTACAGGAATAAATGCACATTTACTTTTCTGTGAAGCTGTTTTCAGATTTTTTTCCCCATATCCTTGAAATACTGGATGTACTTTTAAATCGAGATTAGGAGTAAATGCTAACTTAGGAAAACATCTGGACATCAATTTTTTATTTTTTGCTTCTCTCTCACTCATAGTGATTTTCTACTGTGTTGTTTTCTCTTCTTGCCTTTGAATTTACTTGCTTTTGTCTGCTTCCCAGGGTTTCAGGCTAAGAGATTAATTTCAGAAATTGGACTGTAGACTTGAGCTTGCACCTGTTAGGACAGATAATAATGTTTTAGGGAATGATCGGAGAGAAATAAGGGAAGACAGTAAATGCTTTTTGTTTTCTTTCTTTTCTTTTCTTTCCTTCTCCTTAGCGTTCCCGCCCACTCTCTGCCAGTGATGCGGAAATGAAGAACCTTGTAGGCCCACCCCGGGAGAAGATGTCAGAGAAGTTAGGTGGCTCTGTGCTTGGACTGTCCATGGAAGAGGTAAAGATGACCCCATTTCAGGCCTTTGTGGGCTGACACAGGGTTCATGAAAGTAGAGACTTATGACTAATATTCATGACAAACTTGTACCTTACACTGGAAAGAAAATGATTCAAGAGGGGAGAAGTTTCCTCTCAGAAAACATGGAAATTAATGGAATTAATTCTTCCCCTTCATGCTTTAATCCTTTGTCCTATAGCCGCATGGATTTCAGTTTTCAAAACAGGTACTCATTTTCTCTTCCTCCATGTAGATCAAAGTTTTACGGAGAGTGAAGGAAGAGAATGATCGAAGAGGTGGATTTATCCGCATATTTCCTACATCCGAGACATGGGAAATTTATGGGTGAGGTGACTACCTTTTTTGTTTAATCTATATTTAAGGTCCATGGAATTAGACTTAATTGTGAAACACTATCAGCATTGTTCCCCAAGAGGTGCCTTTCTGTTTTGTTTATATTACCCAACCCAAGAACTAGGCCATCAGCAGTGTACCCATGCCCTCCTTTTTTAAAAAAGTTTAATTTGGCTCATCTTCACCACCCCCAGCCCTTTTTGGTACCCTCCCTCCTTCCTACTCATCCTCCAGTCCAGGGTTAGAATTGTCCTATACTATGTACTTATCACTGCCTTGATTTGAAAAGGCTTTTTTATCATTTATATCTATACCTAAGTAATATATTTGTTGTTATTAATCATCACTGTGATCTAGTCACATATAGTGAAACATATCCATTTTACATTACATTTTGTTTTTGTTTTTTGAGATAGGGTCTCTTATGTACTTCAGGTTGGCCTGGTACTCACTACCTAGCCCAGGCTGGCCTGGGACTCCTGCCTCAGCCTTCCAAGTGCTGGGACTCCAGGCGTGTGCCATCACATCCAGCTTAGGTGTATATTTTGATGATGATTTTGACAGGTATAAGCATCAATTTTTTTTTTTTTTTTTGTACCCAGGATCGAACTGGGAACCTTGTGCTTGTAAGGCAGGCAGCAGAACCATTGAGCTAAATCCCCGGCCCAAGCACCAATTTATCTACTCCCTTTACCACAATCAAATTATAGTGGCTTTTGTTTTGTTTTTGTAGTGTATTCTGTCTACATAAATCCCTTTGTGCACCTTTAAGGTCAGTCCCTGCCATGGCCCCAGGCCTTGCTGAGCTATTCCCTGTCACTGTAATTTTTCTAGAATTTCATATTAAATGGACTCACATAGTGTGTACTCTTTCAAGTATAGGATTTTTTGTTTGTTTGTTTGTTTTTAAATCTTGGTGGTTCTGGGATCAAACATAGGGCCTTGAGAATGCTAGGCAATCTCTCTACTACTGAACTATACCCTCAGCCCCGTGTTCTTTTGCCTCTATTGTTTGGCTTGGTTAGCTAGATTATTTGTTTTTTTAAGAAAGGGGCTTTGTTCAAACATGGCTGGCATAGTATTTTTGAGATTTATTTGTGATGTTGCATGAAGCACTTATTCATTCCTTAATTTGTTTATCCATGTACCTATGTGGACCACTTGGGGTTATGTACAGTGTTCAGCTACGGTGAAGAAAGCTGCTGTGAACACATTCATTTATAATTTCCTGTGTGTGTTTTATGACTTCATTTCTCCTGGCTGACTATCTAGAAATGGAGTAGAGGGGCATCTGATAAGTGGTAGTATTATTTTACATTTTTACTAGTGTAGGAAACCTTCAGATAGTCCCCATCCTTGCTGACACTTAGTATTGCCATGCTTTTTAAACCTTAGTCAGTTTAGTGTATCTCTGTGGTTTTAACTTGCTTTTCTCTGAGAACTAATGATACTAAGCATCTATTCCTATGCTCTTGCCATTTTTATCATTTTATTATTGTGGTTAAAGAACTTAGATACTTTTGATATGAGACTTTTCTCAAATAAATATGGAATGTTTCTCCAAGTCTATGGCTAGCTCTTTCATTTTTCTGGCAGTAGCTTTTGTTAAAGTTTAGGGATTTTGTATTTTGTAAGAAATCATTACCATCTTCAACTTTGTAATGCTTTACTCTGTTTCCTTCTGAAAGTTTTGTAACTTTAGCTTTTATAGCAGGCCTATAATTGTTTTGAACTAAATGTTTAGTGTATAAATTTCCTAAGTTCCTCTTCAGTGACATACCAGTTTTGATCATTGTGTTATTCCATGTAAAATACTCCCTAATTTCCTTGTTGACTTTTTTTGTGGCCCATAGGTTATTTAGAAGGTTGTTTAGTTTTCAAATATTTGGGGTTTCCCAAAGATCTTGTTGTTACTGATTTCAAGTTTATTTCTGTTGAAGTGAGAGAACATACTTGGTATAAATTGTATATTTTTAAATGTATTGAGATGTGTTATATGGCTCTTGGTAAGTGTAACATGTCTGTTGAAGAGAATATATATTCTGTTATTGGATGGAGTGTTTCACAGATGTCCATGGTCATGGGGACTGACAGAATGTTGTTCAGATCTTATCTTTACTAATTTTATTATTTGTTAAGAGACTAATCTCTGTCTTTGGTTTTACCAGTTTTGCTTTTTTATGTATTTTGAAACCCTTTATTAGGTGCATGTGCCTTAGACTTGTTATACCTTCACTCTTTCTCTTTTTTTTTTTTGATTTTTTTGTTTTGTTTTGTTTTTTGGTACCAGGGATTGAACTCAGGTCCTTGCGCTTGCGTAGCAGGCGGCGAAGCCACTGAGCTAAATCCCCAGCCCTCTTTTTTTTTTTGAGACAGGGTCTTGCTATTAGATTCAAACTGGCCTTGAACTCACTGTGTAGCCCAGGCTGGAGCAGCGGTCCTCTTGCCTCAGCCTCTCAAGTGCTGGGATTACAGGCATGTGCCTCTGCACCTGGCTTTATTATACTTTCTTGATAAATTAATTTTCTTATTGTTAAGAAATTTTTATTTTTGATAATATTCTTTGTTCTTAGGTTTACTTGATTGCTGTTAATATACACTACTACACTACTTCAAACTTTTTATCACTAATGTTGGCATGGTATAATTTTTCCATTATTTGACCTTTAAAAAATTTTTAATGATGGATAAAATTTTATGTATTTGTCATGTACATCATGATGTTTTGAAATATACATACATTGTGGAGTGGTTAAATCTTAAATCTAGTTAATTAACAAATACATTACCTCACATAGTTATTTTTGTGGTGAAAACACTTAAAAGTTTTTACACTTTTTTCAAGAATACAATATATTGTCACTATCTTCATGATACTATATAATAATAGATTTCTTAAACTTATTCCTCCTACCACCCTGTGATTACCAGTATATATTCTTTGAACAACAGCTCCTCATCCCTTCCCCGCCATTTACCCCAGACTCTTGTAACTGTCAGTTTGTTCTCTACTTCTTTGAGGCCCGAGTTTTTTTCCCACATGTGAGTGAAATCATGTAGTATTTGTCTTTTTGTGCCTGGCTTACCTCACTTAACATACTGATCTCCGTGTTCGTGTTGTTGCACCTGACAAGATTTTGGGGTTTTTTGTGTGTGGTGGAATAGTTCTATTATGTATACATATTGTCACTGGACAGGGTCCAAGGTGGTTCCTGAAGCAGAGATGAGAGATCTAAACCACCATACCTGTAAAATAAGTCTGCAGGTTCACCAACTTCTATGACAGGAAAAGAATTTTCAGGACACATTAGTAGGAGGCATAAAGGGATTTATTAAGCAAAAAGTTAAAAGTATACACTCAAAGAAATAGAGTGCAGGCCTTCAGGAGAGAAAGGCACATTATTTCCTGGACTTGGGCACATTTATGCTTCTCTTGAGGGGGTGGAAACCCCAAGAAAAGGTGGCCCACCCCCCAGAAGGGTATTGTCCTGGTTTATAGGTATGAACCCCAGTATTTTTTTCTTTTTCTTTAAGATGTATAATAGATCTTTTAAACTTATTCTTTAGGCATTCTTTGAATTCTCTCAACCTATTCCTTTATCTTAGGATCAGGTTCCTGTTCTTAACTTGCTCAACTAAGTCAATTTATGGACTTAGAGTATTCCCAAGGAATTTTGACTGTGATGGGTCTGGAAGGAATGGAGCCTAAATTTAAGCAAAGGAATTCCGATATGTATAGCCTTGGCTTGCTTCCACCATGTCGCAGAAGTTGCAATCTTCTTAAAAGTACAATTTTTAGTTATGATTTCCCTTGTCTCCTTTCTACTTATCTTTATTTCTTGTATCCTGCCTCAGTACCACGTTATCCATTCATTTGTCTATGGACACCTAGGTTGATTCTGTATGCTGACCACTGTGATAAACATGGGAGCACAGATATTTCTTCTGCACACTGATTTCATTTCCTTTGGATATGTACCCAGTATGGGATTACAGAATCATATGGTAGTTCTGTTTTTAATTTTTTTGAGGAACTTCCATTTTAGTTTTCCATAATTGCTTTACTAATTTACATTCCTTACATTAATTTTTTTTTTTGGTACTGTGGATTGAACTTGGGACCTTGCGTTTGCGAGGCAGGCAGGCAGAGCGGAACCACTGAGTTCATAACTTACATTCCTATCAGCAGTGTATAAAGGTTTCCTTTTCTCCATATCCTTGCCAGCACTTGTTTTCTATTGTCTTCTTTTTTTGGTGCTGAGGATCAAACCCAAGGCCTCATGCATGGGAAACACTTGACTTACCACTGAGCTATATTCCCAGCTCTTTTGTCTTTTTGATAATAGCCATTCTAACAGGAATGAGATGATATCTCATTGTGGCTTTAATTCACATTTCTCTGATAATTAGTGAGTTGAGAATTTTTTCTTTTACCTATTGACCATTTGTATGTCTTCTTTTGAGAAATGTCTAAGGAAGTCTTTTGCTTGTTTTTATTCATTCATTTTTACATTTTTTATGCTTTGTTACCGGGAATCAAACTCACGACCTTGTGCTTGCCAGGCAGGCTCAGTGCCACTGAGCTAAATCCCTGTCTCTTGCTTGTTTTTAAATAGGGTTGTTTTCCTACTATTGAATTATCTGTAATATAAAGTTTTTGAGATCCTTATGTATTTCAGATATTAACTCCTTATCCAATATGTAGTTTGAAAATATTCTCTCCAATTCTGTAAGTAGTCTCTTTGTTGTTTCCTTTGCCGTGCAGAAGCTTTTTAGTTTATTGCAATTCTATTTGTTTATTGTTGCCTGTGATTTTGAAGTCATACCCAGAAGAAATCATTGCCCAGAAAATGCCATGATACTTTTTCCTCTGTTTTTCTCTAATAATGTCATAGTTTGAGGCCCTACATTTAAGTCTTTGATCCATTTTGAGTTGAGGTTTGTTGTTTGTTTTGTTTTTTAGCTTCTTGAGAAAAAGTCTCACTTGTGAT